CCCCCCCCCCCCCCCCCCCCACCGCCCCGGCCTAGCCAATTTGAAATCTAGGAACTCAGGCCCATTATTATGGAAGTAAGGGAAGATTGGCTATTAAAACTGTAGTCCACAAACGGAAACATCATAGACACATTAGTCCAGTGATGTGAGGTTGTCTTATTTAAAGACAGTAAGTTATAGAAATTGCCTCCGTGCTTTACCATAAAATATAGAGATCTGCACACCTCCAACAACAAATGGGTAGAAAATATGAAAATGAACACTAGATCCTTTGTTTTCACTTTAATTCCTGAACTTGTGACTGTTCTGACTTAGTAGAAACATATATCTTATTCAGGAGATTTGGGAATTGGCTAGCCATTGGGTAAAGTGTATGTGCATGTAAAAGGAAAGCAAATTTTATTTTAGGGTCATGAAATACCTGCTTCTAAATGATCTGGGTTATATTTTCAATGACTGGTGTTTTTACAAAAATGCTTTCATTGTCATCTACGTGGCAGGAACCTGGGGGACGGGGGAGGCTGGGAAAAGGGCCCTAATTGAGTTCTGCTCTAAAGTCGTAGAAAGCTAAACCTGGAGAATAGCACAGAAGTCTTTTAGTCTAAGCTCCCTCCCCTCACAAGTAAGGACCTGCTTTTACATGGTCCCTGATTGAGCTGTTCAGTTTTCACTTAAATACTAGAAGAAACACTAGCTGCAATAAGTTCACTCTGTCTTTTTAGAAAGTCCAATCCATTTTCTCTGGATGTAATGTTTAAGAAAAAAAAAATCCTTATATAAGTAACAAGCCTACCTCCTTTTTATTTCTGTTCCTGATTGCTTCTGTCTCTATTTTATTCTGCCAATTGTCTGCCCTACAGAACTTGAATATAACAGTCCTACTTAACCTGTTTCCTCCAAACAGTCCTATTCCTAATCCAATTTTGTCTTCTTTCCAGATCAAACATCCCTCTTCTACATATTCACGAATCTGCTCATCGAGATGCCTTGTAAAATATGAGATTCAGAATTGAAGAACAGCTCAGGCCCGTTGGTTCTTTCCACTTCCAGCGCAGCATGACTTCCCATAGCTGTACTGGGTCTCTATGTACGTGACTATGTATGGACTTAGCTGTGCATACCCAGCCATAAACGTAAAGCAATGGAGTCTTGAATGGCAAGACCATTTTCAACACTTTGGTGCAGCATTCTGAAATAATATCATTCCAATAGTGACTTCCAAGAAGAGAAAATAGTACTAACATTCTTAAATGCTGAGAATCATAAAGTAGAGAAGCCAAGAAGTCATCCTTGGTGTTCATTTCTTCTTGTGAAATCCACCTCGGTTCCAAAACATTTGACCTTTTTTGCCCTTGAAATATGTCCAAGCTGATAATGCTGTTGAAATCTGTCTGATAGGAAAAACTCTCCATTTTTAACTCCATTTTCTGCCTCAGTTCTAACCAACTCTTGGTATGGGATCTTAGGTAAATATTTTTTCAAGGAGGCGCCTTCTAAATTATGGAAATTGGAATGATTGATGTAAAACAGCATTGAAGCAACGGTGAAAAATTATTTACTTAGAAAACATCTATTGTATACACGTTTGTCTGCTAATATCTAAGCTCTGGAGGCGGTTCTACCACTTACTATACGAATCTGCGCAAGTTGAATTCACTGCGCAGAGATTCCATCTATCTACGTAAAATGCATTATCTGCATTATCCACCTCATGGGTTTGTAATGAAGCTCAAAAGTGTCAAAAATGCTAAAGCACTAACATTTTAAAAATTACCGAAATTGTTATTAATAAACAGTATAGATTTGAGTTGTTTAAGCTATTTTCGGTTGAAAGCTATACGTGTTTCACTAAAAGATTGAGAAACAAGAGAGTTTCAGCTGTTCCCACAGTTAAAGACTCCCATTTAAGATGCCATTTGGCTCAAAATATTGAAACATTGGAAAATGGGGAAAAACCAGAGTCATCACTTTCTTATTTCCATGGGCAAGCCCTCCATTGTAATTATCATGCCAGGAGCAGAAGCCAAGGCATTTTCCATGATTGCTTTCACATACATTTACTTGGATCCCAAATATCTCTCAGGCAGAATTTTCTTCTGTGGTTATATTAGATTACATTTAATTCTAAGAATATCAGATCACAGCACTTTTTTATACTGGACAGACAGTAAAACAGATTTCTAATAGGACTTTGCTTAAGAATGCCTAAGAATATTCATCAAAACCCTTAATGCTTCCAGGAGTATTTTGCAGGAAGTTATACCTCTTAGTATGTTTTTCTTCACTAGCTCTTAAGTTCATGCCTAGTTGGTTTAAAAATTTTTAAATCTAAAGGTCACTCTCCCCCAAATTTTAAAGCCTCGCACAAAGTGATGTTTTCAAGATTAAACGTCAAGAGTTTCATAAATTTTTAAAATAAAACCCTGCCATTCAACGTCATTTTAAAAGAAAAATTTAAAAATTCACAGAATCAAATTCCAGGTCCCTCAGATACACTTGTTTATCACAATGTCCTTCCAGGTGGTCTCGTATATTCTGTTTAAATACTGCCAGTGGCTGAAAGTTTTCAACTCCATAAGCGTGCCCCCTCTACTGTTTGACAATATTTATACTTCATCTTTATGTTTATTCAAAACCCACTGCAAATTTTGCCCATTGTTTCTAGTTCTGTCCTTGAGATATAGGATAAATGAGTTTTAGCTCTCATTTTAGTAGTGTTTCTAAGTCTCATCTTAAAGTCTTGGTTTCAAATGCATTTTGAGAACAGTTCCAAGACTCCAAGAAAAAGGAAATGCAAAATGTCATTTCTTTCATATTCCTATTCTCATCTCATACTTCCAAGTCTACAACATTGCTGGCTAAAGAGTGGCTGGTACAATACAGGCTTGACTGAACCCTCAGTTCATGTTCCCCTAGGACCTGGGGGTTCTCCTGCACAGAACTGATCCCATCGGAATTTGTCTTATCTCCTAGACTGCCAGCTCCATGAAGCCAAGAGTTTTGTCTCTTGCATTCATTCTTATATCTTAGGTATGGTGACTGCATGAGAGTAAGTGATAAATATATTTTTAAATAAATAATTAACTACAAGAATGTATGATTGATTCATGAACATGAATGCATGCTGAACGACTGAATACGTATATAAATAGACTCTGGAATCTGTCCATGAGGATACCATCCAATATTCAAATCTCTAGTTTAAAATGAAATGCTTTAACAGCCTAAGAATTATTCTTTCTGCTTTCTTTTTGAGGCCAGTTCAGTGACTCTCAGTGTCCCAGGAGCACAGGGTGTCCAGGGGCACTACTCCCTGTTTAGTTCCTACTTTTAGGTTTCTCATTCAACTGTGGGGAGACAGCCTAAAATCCACAGATGGCCAGTAGGAGTATAATATATATATAATCCAGCCATCCAAGTGACTTGAAGGAGGCATATTGTTTATATGGTTGGATGTAGAAGAAGCTGCCATGATTGTGTACTCTCATGGTGTGACTAAGAAATTTGCTAAACCTATCTGTCAGATTACTTCCCAGAACAAGGCTTGTTATAGCTCTGTAAGATGATGAAGGTCAGTGAACGTGTATTTGTCCTTTGGGCAAAGTGGATACTTGTCCCAGAGGGTAATTTCTCTTTGATCCATTTTGAGCATAACATCTGGGGGAGATTTGGGCATCTGTGTGACAAAATTATTGAAGGTAGTGGCAGAAAGTCCAGGAGCAGGACTATTGCCATAGTCAGACAATTGGAAAGACTAGAGATGAGTGATGACTAGGATACAGAAAAGAGATGGGGCCAAAGTCAATCTGAGAGGCTCAGCAGAGAGAAACCTATAAGACTTCCAGTCAGCTGAACGTGGAGTTCAGAGAATGAGAAAGTTGAGAGATTCAGGGATGGCTCTATTAAGACCTGAGCAGAAGCTATTTTATATTAAGTAAATGTTAAAGATTAATTAGAAAACTCTCTAACAAATGTTCTATTTTTTCCCTAAAATGAAAATAATTCATTTAAGTAGAGCAATTTGTAGTTTTATTTGATAGTTATGATGAGTCATTTTAACAATGATCTATGTTATTTTTAAATAGCATAATTGAATAAAATATCATGCTGTTCTCAGTGATTTCATTAGCTACTCCTACTGGAAGTCAGCCAAGCTACTCAGACCCCAGCCCACATCCAAGTTATTACACCTTCCTGGCAGTAGCTTGCCCTAATTAAATATCATTAGGCAACCTACTGAATGTTAGCCCTGTAAACTCAGCCTTGTAAAGAGATGTCAGCATCACAGAGGAAGGAACTCTCCACTTGAGATCCAAAAGTAGCAGACAAGTCTCTGGGCTCAGGTGGGTTTAATGCTTCATGAAAGGTAGCATAAACAATTATGAGACCTCTTGGTCATGGATTTTATGACACAGGCAATAACAAATACCATGTGCAACTGGAATGCTGCAGTAATAGAACTAAGCTTAGTAACAGTAGAACCAACAAAGAATAAATGAAAATTTTCTGTTACCTTATCTTTGTCTGTTGGTGTTAACTACACATATATAGATGATCGGCATGCTTCTAAAATGTTTTATCTTTTTTAAACCTATGCAAAATATGTGTATATAGTATATATACACATATATGTATACAAATAAATACATTTCTATATGTCGGGGGGTGGCTTGTGTATGCAGAGTATTTTTTGCATAACATACAAGCAACAATGTTTATCAGTGTTAACACTTTATCTCTAGGGAGTGGAAGTGAGGACACTACACCAGCACTGAGGAACATGTTGACTTTGCACATGATACTCATCTATGGTATTAGAGCTTTTTATAAAAAGCATGTTCTACTCTTATAATTAAAAAATCCAAATATTTTAAATAAAGTTGACATGTTAAAAAAAAAAAAACTGCTGCCCCACATTTTCTAAGACTTGAATATTATGAGGAGTCTAGTAAATAAATTTCAAAATCCTTTAGGCAAAGAAACTGCTTCTAGGTCCAAACAAAAATAACCACCTGTTGAGTATCTCTCAGTGCAGACAGATCTGCCTAAGCACTGAGGGCAGCTATGACGAAAGGATGGGGGGGCCACTGGAGATGAGAGGCTTTCCATCAGTCATCACTAATTTCATGGCTGTGTACTCACCAGCTAAATTCTCTGTTTCAGAAATTGTGTTGGTTTTAGGTTATAACCTCTATAGAGGTAACCAGAACTCTTACAGCGAAATTCCCAGCCATGGTGTTTATTCCCTTCTTGGCTTCTGTTCTTTCTCAAGTCCTTGAATGTGATAAAGCACAGCTTAACGGGGTTCTATTTCAGTAAAGGTGGAATACTGGAATATAAGGCTTCAAAAATGACCAACTTTAAGGTTATGTGATGTTGTCTTTTAAGAACACTCCATTTCTCATCCCTCTATCTGCCTAATCTAAAAATGGAATCCCAGAGCAGACAGTGCCACCACACAAAGGGCTTTCTTCTAAGCCAAACACAGAGGAAGGTCAGCTTAGTCAGTCACTCTTTGCAATACTGTCTCAGTAGGCTTTGTAGAAAATATTTCTATAGGTATATAGTTTTCAGTCTTTCAAAGCTATGTGGGTTTTCAGACCAGGGCCAGACCATTTGCTTCTATACTCCTGGTGGCCCACTAAAGGGGATACTATAAATGTACGCTGAGTTGGAAACTCCTGGAGCATATGGTCTTAGCTCTTTCTAAAGCCCAGGACTGTCACACGCAGTGATCAATTAAAAATAAAACTGTCGCAGGAGGTAGATTTAAGGTTTAAGCCACTAAATACATAACTGTTCTGTTCATTTTTGATGTTCTTTTTTTGGAAAGCCCAGGTCCTCGGGGTATTTGCTTTTTCAAAGAGATATTTGCCTTGGTCATATATCACTCCCCATCAATAACGTAGGACTTTAATATTTTTTGTTTTTTGTTTTTTTTTCAGTTTGGAATGATTTCCAAATGTACCAGGACCCCTACAGTAGTCAGTACCTCATCTATTTTCATACCAGGAATTTACTTGTGACTTCAACTGGAGCTATTTGAATTGGCCCAGAGCCACCTGTACCCTAAATTTTCTCTGGGCTGCTTTGAGCATCACAGAGAAATATGAGACAGTAGTTGGTGAAAATAGACTCCTCCATCACACCAATGGCAGCTGGGTAACTGACTGCGTGGTCAAATGTTTGGCTCTATCTGGGGAATGGAAGGCACCATTCAAAGCCAGATTCCAGTCTGTTTTAAGGATTATATTTCTGTCATCACAGCATCTCCTTGACAGTTCCACCAACTGAAAAACTCCCAATAGAAACCCAGTGATTAAATTCTCCTGGAGCATATTTTTTTCCAGCTTCTGGAAACAATCTACTGTACTCCCTCCTTCCCTCACCATAAAACCCAAAAGATAGTTCCATTTCTAAGACTGATATATGGAAATAGATTACTCACAACCAACCCATTCTCCCACAGCTGGAAATAATGCCAACAATTTGGTTTTGGAACGACTAAGGAGAGACTTAGTCCCCATCCACTGAGAGGCTATTCCTACTGAACATAGTATATCACTACCTGTACTTTCAAAATGATATGAGGCCAAATGTGATCAGAAAAGCAACGCAACATCACTGGACCTTTAAATTAAATGTGGAGAAATGATCATTTATGTTCACATGCAGAAACACTAGGGAAACACTTTGTTTGTGTCTAAGAGCAAAATGTAAGAAAGGTCAGAAGACATCAGTTTTAGTATGAAGCAAAACCCTTGATCACCCACTTTCATTTCTGAACTATACTCAAGTCAAGTAGATATTTTCACCGAAAGTTAGAAGACTTTTTCTCCTGATATTTTAGTTATCAAAGAGTCCCTAATAGAGGTACCCGTAAATACCAACTGATCTGTGGCAGGATTAGAAGTTGCAATTCCACTGCCAGAGAGATATTTCTAGCTAGGCTCCCACAGTGGTCTGCACTAAGAACTTTCTGGTAGGGGAAAATAGAGAAAAGAATATATTAGACTACCCCATACATGAAAAGTGGGGGTATAGTGCTATCAGGTATGAGCTTGGGACCTGACAAGTAATAGGTGAGGCATCCATCAAAAAGATCCAGCATCCCAGAAATCTGGTAGTGAAATTCATAAAACAAGCCTCTGTCCTTGGGACCAGCTTATTTGGGGTAATGAAAACCAAAACCTTAGAAGGAAAATCTCAAATGGGCCCCCTCTCACCACTGTACCCAAGAGTATATACCTATTAGCCTCTGTGCAACATTCCAGTGATTGCTTCCTTGCTTAAGTGAGTTATTTTGACATATGTTGCTACTTTTGCTTTTGCTGTTTTATTTCAAGTCGATCAGCCTGCTTTCTATTATCACTCAAAAAAGTCTAGAAGTAAATGCTGTCCTAGTGCTCCATTTCCTGTAACCACAGTTCCCACACATGGTTTTCTGCTCTGTAATTTAAACAGCACTTAAAATTGAGTGGTTCTGCAAACTAGCTACGGGCCTTTGTTTAATCCATTGCTCATCTCTATTGCAGCAAAAGGCAAAGATGGCTACACATAGGCAGTACGGAGCTGTACAAACAGCCCAAGCTGACCCAGTCCTTCATGGCTACTGGCAACAGCCTGTGACCTGGGCTGCCCCTGGGTTACCTCTCTGAGGTACCTCTGCACACAGACAACTCCCATGCCACCTCACCATACCTCAGAGATATAGCACACAAGTTGACATTATCCATGTGGCACTTCCCAGCTCCTATATAATGAAAAGGGATAGGGGAGGGGAGGAGGCATGCAAAAAGTCACTAAGTAGTCGTGGTATATTTAGTCTTGGAAATGGAAGCGGTTTTACAGTTATATTTCTGCAGGACATCCAGAGGGTTTTAAAAGACCTTCAGATAGTCTTGTGGTCTTCAAAGACTGCATGTAAAGAGAACAGATCATATCATATTTTTTCAATTGATGGGTTATCACAGTGGAGTTGTGCAGTATAGGGGAAAGATGAATGCAGAGAGGGAGGAGGGAGCAGTGCCATTTATACAAACATCCTTTGAATCTTTAAAATAAATTATACAGGTGAACACAGAAGTTCATGCTACTTGCTGGAAGCAATAAGGACCAAATTTCGTGGAACTCGTATTCCACACATCCAGATATTCTGCCTCATCGTCAGTGGGCTATCTGTTCTCTTGTACATCTTGGGAGCCCTTAAAATTGGTGGCATGGTCTCAGATAGATTCTTGCAGGAGACAGACTTATGGTTTCCATCGGCTTCTTCCAGGGGAGCTGCCCGATCGCTGGGAGGGCACAGGTGATATGCTCGCGCAGGTTCTCATTGCCCGTCTATCAGGGTCAAACAGCAGTTTCCAGGTCCTCATGGCCAATGATCTTATAGTTCAGGCGGCTTTCTAAGTAAGCAGCCAAATCTGGGTCTCCAGCCTGCTGTGCTCTGTCTTGAGGTGTCTTACCCTATAGGTAACAATGAAAAAGAAAGAGACACAAACACTTGGGATGAGACGAAAAAAACCCCACAAAATTACAAAACAGAGCTGCTCAAAGACTACTCACTAATAAGGATCTTTCCATGTTTACTGTTTTAGAGTTCACAAGACACTTTGAAATCTATCATCTTATATGAGCATCACATCAAACATGTGAGGCAGGTAACTTCAAGAGAAAGAGATGATCACTTTTGACAGGTGAAGCTTATATCTAAGGAAACGAAGGTTCACAGAGTAACTGAGTGCCCAACAGGAAACTGTGGCATAGTGAGTTTTGGAACTCTGATCCTTTTTGGAAGAAGGCGGATAGAAATCATTGAATAGATAAATAGGGAAGCAGGCATTCTGATTTCTAGTTCGGTCTCTTTCTATTATACTGAACTCTGGGAAGTGACAAGCAGAACCTGAGAGGAAGGAGTGCTCATAAACGACCTTAAAGGGTTTCTTTGTTGGTTTCAAAGACTTCAGTTAAGTTCTCCTCAATTTAGAACTATCTCATCTCTCCAAAAAGTAACGTAGTATTACCAGTAATTCCACTACACTAAGACAACCGTTGTAAACCTTCCATCGAGTAATTATTTCACCTTTTCTTATAGCTATATAAATAATTATTTTTATGAAAATAAAACCACACTTTGCTAATATACTGTAATATAACGTGATTTTTCACTGAATAATATATCAAACTTTTTAATGTCATTAAATGTTCTTCTACATCATTTTAAATGATCATATAATTTCTTGCAGTCTACTATAGTGCTATATGTATACTTGCACACACACACATGTGTGATATTTTTGAAACGAGGTCGATGAATAGAAGTCAGCAATAAAAGGAGGGAGGGTGTCTATTCTCTTGAATGTTTACAGATATTATTTAACACTCCCTGAAACTTCCAGTTTTTGTTCAATGATACTGTTTTATCCATTTAAAAAGTGATATTAAGTTCTAAGGAAAGGGTAGAAGCATTATCATCATACCAAAGAAATAGCTCCATGTATAAATGCATAAGAGTTTTACAAAAATTATCAAAGACTTCTCAGTCTCCATCTCAGCTCTTGCAATGGACAGTGTCGACTTCAATTAAGCTGACTCCTGGTAGCCTAAAAGGGTATGTGGGGTAAAGGATTAAAGGAAAGTAACAATGGCTCTGGACGCTTTCTAAAATTTTACTCACTTGGTTGGGATTCAACATTTAACCACTAGGTTAAAGTTCCTATGATAATTTTATTCAACTTGTTTACAGTATTAGTAGACTATCTCATCTTTACATCAATATTAACGAGGTTGGAATTCCTAGCTTCCAAATATTCAAAGAGATGGACTGGGGTGGGCCTTTGAGTCATTTTTTAAGGAATTGTTCTATTGAGAGAAATTCTCAAGATATTGTGTCTCTCCAAAAAATTCCAAGAGAAGATCCAGTCATAATTGTCATATTCTGCTTTCACCTAGCATCAAATTACAGAATGGAAAAATTAAAGGATTCTTGAAAAGGAGGAAGCATAAGTATATTACTTCAACTGGTAAGATCTCTAAAACATAATTTTGGGTAAAAAGTGATACAATCGCACATATAGTATGACTTTATCTACTTAAAAAAATGAGAAAAACAGACATACACGTGAAGAGAAAGCATTAAAATTTTAATAATATATAGGTCTAGATAGTGGGATTTCTAGCGATTTTTACTTTTGTATTTTTTGCATTGCTAGAGTTTTCTATGTGAGAATACACTATATTTATAATCATAAAATAATAAAGTTATTTGTTTGCATTTTTATAAAAAGTATACACATAACACAAAATAGGAAGAAATCTCAAGGAACATCAAGCCCATTCATCTGATTCAGAAACTCAGATAGATAAAAAAAGAGCACTGTGCTCAAGGGCCAGGTCTGCCGTCTAGTCTTTTGTTTGTCCCTCTATTTCATGTTGCTCTTCCCTTTCCTTTTAGTGTATTATCTGAATTGAGCGTAAGACCAGCTTTTGTGTAGAAATAAGCTGTAGTCTGAGTGGCCCCAGCAAGGCCGAGACTCTTCCTTAAATCAAAGCCTCCACTGATCCTGTGTACATGGTTTGTGTTTCTCAATCAGATTACATATCAAAGCATTTGCGTGTAAATATCACCTGGGAAGAATATCACACTGAGCAATCATCTGCCGTTTGAAATCATATACCCAATTAGCTAACCAGACAGGTAACAGACCAGCTGGAAACCAGGACACAGTTTAATGTGTTTGATAGCCCAAGGAGGAATTGAGGCAGCCAGGACTTCAGTCACAGAGCAAGGATCTGGCAGGTTGCAAAGGAGGTGGGGATTCATGCAATGCAATGTAACTGGCTCAGAAAGGAGAGAAAGGTCCACGTAAGAGAAACAGTTATTTCACGATGGGCACTGCAGTCTGAGAAAACTTCAGGGTGAAAATTGCGTATAAGATGCTCATCACTGAAATAAGTCTAATGGGGTTTAAGTCATATTAGGCTTCCAAGTCATCTGTCTTTTTCTTGCCGACATTCATTGGCCCAAAACTTAGGTTACTCGGTACCTGCTTAACGAAGTCCGCATCTATATATTAGAATTCTTCTCTGCAACCCTCTCCAGTTAAGTGGCTTGTCCTTTCCTGGAGTGTACCTAGGTACTCTAAAACTCTCAGAGTTTATCAGGCTCCTCTGTGGGGTTGATCTGTATTAACTTCTCTCTCTCCCCCAAGGGCTGTAGTCCTAGGTCAAAGTTGCTAAGTTACAACAACTCCTTTACTCCAGCTTTCACTCCTTTCCTTGGCTGTCCTGTGTAAATTGGAACAACTCATGGTGTTGCCTGATTTCCCATCCTGGGAGTGACTGGTAATCACTCATATATGGGGTCAAATAAATCATAGATTTTTAAACTATCCCGGATTAAGCAGCTGAAGGAGAAATCCTAAAGGGTCTTCTCTGTAGCCAGGCCAATGTCTTTTGAACACTGTCCTGACCCCTTCTCCTAGGGCTTTGAACCCCACCTCCCCACAATTTCACTGCTGGCATTTGGCAGGAGGAGAACCCAGAAGTCCCAGCACGTCCAGAAGTTTAGAAAGCCCCATAGGCAAGCACACACCCACCCTTTGTGCTTATACATTTAAACTGCAGTTTCTCTAAATGAAGCACTTTATTTTTTCCTCCTTATTCCAAAGCCCCAGGCACTTCCATAAGCACAGAAAGGATGCCTTTGCTGCGGGCACAAGTGAAGGCAATGGTGCCGGCGATCCTGCCCAGCGGGAAGATGTTTGCACTTGCTCATCAAGTTACCTTGGAGTCCGTCTTTCTCAGAGATGCTCCTGCGTCCACGAGAAGCTGGCACACAGCCCGGTTCCGCTGGCAGGCAGCCTTGTGCAGTGCAGTCTCACCCCTAAATCAAAGATGAAATGGGAAACCACCCATAAAGGGGATGGGGGTGGGAGTGGGGGTGGCAGGGAGGGGGCCGAGGGTGGCATCCCACCCCTGCTGCTGATGTCCTGTGCTCCTTGGCCTCTTTCCCTATCTGTGCTGAGACCAAGGCTGCAGGGCACATTCTGAGGAGGTGGGCAAGGGGGTATCTAAAAATGCCTTGAGTTAGTCATCAACTAACCATAAAATCTAACTCCAGCCTCTTTTTCAAACACTGTTGGTTAACTAGGCTGACTGCTCCTGTTTTAAACTATTAATGTTGGATTTAGATAATATCTAATGACACTACTAAATAGACTGATGTGTGTAGATGTGTCTGAACATGTGAAGCAATTCTCTCTGTGGATACATCTGGGCACAGCATGAGGGACACTAGATGAAGTACACAGGGAGCAGCGATGGGGAACCAGACCCTTCAGACACATCACACAGTGATTGGTAGACAACCATCTGACCCTCAGAGGAATGTGTTGCGGGAACTCCACTTCAAAGGCCCAAGCCAACACCCACTCTGCCCTACCTGCTGATTCCACATGAGTGGCAGGTGGAAGGGGAGGGGCAGCCACAGAGGTTATCTGGAGAGTTCAGGAAACAGAGCTCTCCCCTGTAGGCAGCAGGCGTGAAGCCAGCCACTCAGTCAGGGAAGCACACAAGAAAACGTGGCTATTTTCCCCCCTCTAACAGGCAGGATAGGGAGGAGGATATTCCCATTCTGAGTCAAAAATTGAAAAGATGCTTAATGCCAAACTGCTTCATGGGAAATCAAATAAAGTCCTTAGAGAAGGCAAACTGGGGTAAAGGACAACCTTGCCAATAGGATATGCAGTATGAAGACAAGCTCTCTGTAGCAATGGACAGTTTCTTCCACGTCTAGTAATTCATAGCTAGACGCCTTCTTCCCACTGGTCCTCCATTCTATTCATTCCTACTTTTCCTCCTCCATACCTGCTTAGCCACTCCCCACCCTGTCCCAGTCCACCCTGCCCATCTTTATCCTTTTTCAAATTTCTTTGAAGTGTTCTAGTGGCTCTATATGGCTTTCAGGGTTAGATGTTTAGCTTTTCTTTGTTCTTATTGGGGGAGTAGTAGCTATGTTGCTGCCCTAGGAGTAAGAAAGTTGAAAACAAGCATTATCAGTCTGGGGACCATCCCAGAGCTGACAACTTTCTCAAAGAGTGTTCTTCATCGGAATCACAGAACATGAAAATGGTTGGAGTTACCATGTTCTCAGTTTTCCAATGGTTGTATATAACTTAGTCCATTCAAGACTCGGCAAAGAGGCTTCATTACACCAAAGGATGCCTTAGGGCATTAGGGCTTAATTTTTTCACAAATCCCAGGTGAGAAAGAGTAAATGAAAAGGTAAATATATTTATTTAGACCTCTCATGCACCAGTGCAGAAGTACCTTGCAAGTAGGAAGTTCTAAATAATGACTAGCAATGACTGTGCATGCAATCATTTATGACACATCATTAATTTTTATTGTGTAACTTTTCATTCAGAAGATTAGTTCTGCACAGTTATAAATACAATGAAAGTGGACTTTTTATCACTGGAATTAAAATTACCCATTGTATGCCCCATAGACAACATTCTTTTCCTAGTTACGTTCTGAAGAAAATAATCTAGACTGTTAAGGAAAGGCAACACTTACGTTTCACTGTCTGCCATATCCAATAACTCGAAAGGTCCTAAATAAGGAGGAAAGCAAGACGCCCATCAAAATTAAGTTAAAAAACTAACCATTAACAAAAAAGTCTATAGTCACAGAACTAAAATGCTTTGAAAAACTGAATAAACAAGAGTCATTTGGTGATAGTGATAATAAGACCACTTCCCCCCTCCCCGCCAAAAAAGAAAGGCTTCTTCTGCCTCCCTGTCACCAATCTCCCGATCACCACCCAATATGTGCAGAATGGGAGCTACAAAAGAATGATAGGGCTCTGCCTTCAAGAAGCTTTCAATCAAGTTGAAGAAATGAAATCAATTGGAGCAGAATAAGTGAGAAATAATTAAGTGGCTACCTTGGGAGAAAGGGACAATCAGGTGGGCTTAAGGATCGTTTCTCACTCTCCAGTGGCAGGTTGGTGGGGATGGGGTCTTATGCAGTCTAATGTTAACGCTACAAGAGATCAGAGATATCATCCAGTCCAATACCCTTATTTTAGAAATAGGGTAAAATTCTATTTTTCATAAAGTTTCCCTTCCAAGACCTGGAAGAAATGTTATGCATAAACGTCAAATGATTATAAAGGCTTCATTAGGAAGTGAAAAGTTGTTCTGTGAGTTTGTGCATTCACAGTGTTTTATTTGTTCACTAATTCATTCATTCAATCTGCAAAAACTGCTTGGCATGTCCACCTTTCTACCTTCTGCCCCACTGCTTTTCTGCCAACTCTCCCTGCAACTCCTTCCCCTATTTAGCCTGCACGTATCAGATAAGACACATTTCTTCCATAAAGCCCCCGATGACCGCACTCCTAATATTGCATTAAATGTCCTGCCTATGTACTCCCTCACTTCTGTACTAACCCTATGTCCTATAATTGGGAGGGTAATATAATTTAATCATCCAAATTGAGACTATTCCAGACAAGTGGGGTATATGATCACCTTACTGATCCTGACATTTAAACCATATTAATATCACCTTCTGATGTGTTACTCTGCACAGTGAGACTCTGGAAAACTCCCTGAAGTTGTGGCCCATGCCTTGTCTGCCACTGTGTCCTTCCTTTGTGCCTGGCATAGAGCCTGGTGCCAAGCAGATGCTTAAATGTCTGGTTGAATGAATGGATGTACTTGGAAGTGCCAAACACAGTTTTAGGTATTGAACATTCTAGTCTTAGAAATATGATCCTATTGATTTTCTCTCTACATTGTTGGATATCGTTATCATTGAAAATTTACTTATGTGATTACTTATTACATAAGAAGAAAAAATGGCAGAAGAGGTTAGGACTTTCCAATCATGAACATCACTGGCCGAGAAGATGACTGAGATGTTATGGGACCTTCACAATCCTCCCAGTCACCCAAGAGCTAAATCATCATCTTTGCCTGCTCTCTTTCACATCTAGTCATCAAGGCAGGTTAATCTTCCTTTGCAGTGTCTGTCCTATTTGTCTCTCCTGTTTGTCCTATTTGACAAATAGGCCTCCTAGGAGGTCTCTGCCTGGAACGTAATTAACATGTGGAAAAATCAAAAGGTCTTACGTCATTTGGATTTCCTGGTTTCCACTTCATCACATTTCTTACTTAGCCCTGAGTATTTAAACATTGAAGTTCACAGTCTTTCACTTGGAGCCACCCTCTCTCAATTTGTTTCCAAGGTTCCATTTTTTTCACACAAGCTAAACTGGTAACTGCACCATCACCCAAATATTTCTCAGGCTCTCTCAGCTCTAAAAGCTTGTTCTTCCCACTCTCCCTATCCAGAACAGCCTTCCCCTTTCTAGCCACATTCTCAAATCTTTCACATTCTTTAAAGCTCAGTCTGTGATGATGTCCTCTGAAAAGAACACATTTGACAGAAGGACTCTATCCCTTCTCTGAACTCCCATAACTCTGACTGGGTTCTACCCTTGTACCATGTATTTTCTTTTCATTTGTAAGCCTTGTCTCCTTAAACAAATTATTGTAAATCCCTTGAGCATAAGAATACTTTTATTTTTCATATCCCTCTCGCATCTACCTTATATTAAGGATTCAACAAAGATTTAACTCACTTATTTTTGTTCCTCAGTTCTGTGGTTCTAAGGAAATATGAATGATAATCCCCCCCCCAACACACCCTCAAAGAAGTGCAAAGCAGTCTAGTGCGATGCTGCAGAGTGAGGGTTCTGGAGCTGTACCTCCTCTGCTCAAAATTCCAGCTTGAACTGCCATTGACTAGACCCCGGGCAAGTTCATTTAATCTCTCAGTCCCTTGATTATTGCATATGTAAAGTAAGATTGATAATATTTATCACACAGGATTTTTGTGCGGTTTCATAAGTTAATAGAAGTTACGTGCTTAAAACAGTGGCTGGCATACTAAACGCAATGTCTAAAGTTTAGATATTATTAAGTGTTTTACTCTCTGCATAATACAGCAGGGTACACGAAGTCAAGATGTTGGAACATCAGCGAAGGAAGCAGATGTAAAAGGACCACTTCACTCCCACTTACATTTGAAGCCACTTGTTGACTCAAATTATATGTCCCAAGAACCAAGTACTCCAGGCCTATTCAATTGCTGACAGGGCCTTCTCCACAGGTCAGGAGCAAGAAGGCTTACAGTGCCCAGCGGTCCTCTTAAAAAGATACTGTCACCTTCAGTGAATCTTTTGAGCCATTCATTTTGAAAGGAATCCCATGAACGTGAGCAGCCCAGCCTCACTAGTAGTCTGTTCCCATCATTATTGCTAATTGCACAAATATTTAGGCAAGAGATGCTTTGTCTCCTCTTCTTCTTTATTGAGCACTGTTATTCGGAGCTGCACCCATGGCGGGTCCATGGACTCAGGGGTCCAAACTTCCGTGCAAGTGAGGGGACACTGAAGCAGTTCAATCGGTGCTAAAATGCCAATTGTTTGACACTCTGAAGTGGAGACAAGGAAGAGAAAGGGCGTTGCTCCTCAAATTTCTGACCAGAATCACTATAAATGCAGCCAACCCAGAACAATTCCAGGGCTGATTATCCAATTCATGAGGCAGGCATGTCTATAGTCACTATCATTTCCTCCTTCTCTTCCTTTAACCCTCTGCAGCTGACAGAGGTGAGAGAGAGAGATGCTGAGACTAAAACCAGACACTTTTGCTCTTAATTAATATCTAAAGAAACTCCAGTTAAAGCTTTCAGGAATAGCTCTGGAATGATGGGCTTAACCCAAACTTTCCTTATCTTCCCATCAACTTACATCATCACAAAATAGCAGAACATTTTGAACACTGGCAGGCCAAGAGCCAACGAAGAGGGAAGGGTGGCAGCTAGCCGCTCATGGATAGCAGTAGGGAGCTATTTTTAATAGTACAGGAACATGTTCTAATAATTTTTTTAACCTGCCTTAAAATAAGCATGTTTGCATAGTGCTAGCAAGAAGTGGGCTACAGAGGAGGAAACAAGAAGAGGAGTGTGTGCCGAATGCAGCCTAAGACAAGTCTGTAGTTTCCCCCCCATCTGTACTTTCAGTGACCCATTGGGAGCTCTTTTTAATAGTGCATCATACTGTTTAACAGTACCCTGTGAGGATTAGTAGCATCTGTGTAAGATTGTTTATTGGGGGAGAGAAGGGAGTTGGCCAGAGAAACAAAAATAATTAACAAAGACCACAAAAATTCTCTTGAAAGAAAAAAGTCTAAAGAATAGCATTTATGATTTTGGGAAAGTTAGTTTGAGTCTCACTAATAAGGGCAAGAACAGGAGAAAGAGAGAAAAAATAAAGATGACAGGGGGCTGGCCCCATGGCCGAGTGGTTGGGTTTGTGCGCTCCACCTCAGCGGCCCAGGGTTTTGCTGGTTCAGATCCTGGGCATGGTCATGGCACCGCTCATCAGGTCATGCTGAGGTGGCATCCCATGTGCCACAACTGGAAGGGCACACAACTAAAAGTACACAACTATGTGCTGGGGGGGCTTTGGGGAGAAAAAGGAAAAACAAAATCTTTAAAAAAAAAATAAAGATGATGGAATTCTTTTGATATATATCCATGGTGAACATCTGGGTTTGGGGCTTATTTTACATTTTACATATATATATGTTCTGATTGGAGGTACTATGCCATCTCCCCTAAGGAATACCATTAAATTGTCAGCAGTGACCTCACAATCGTTCCCTGAATGTAAAAGGAAGTCTTGGCTCACTGTCCCACACAGGGGTTACAACAATGTCCACACTCCACCCTGCAGCTGACCTGCACCAGAAAACAACTGTTAAATCCTACTCAAGGGACGGGTGCAAATGTCTCCACGAAACTTTCAGAGGAAGCTGATCACTGCCCTTCCACAGCCCTGCACCAGTCGTCACTGGAACCCTGCATACAATACTCACGTTGAACCACCCTGCTTTATGGTTGTTTATCCATGTTTCATTTCCCTTGCTGGGTTTTAGGAATATGGAGGGCAGAGCCCATGTCTTATGTTGTGCACGAGTTTTGAGAAGTAACCTAACTTCACTCTGCTTCAGTTTTTACCACCTGTCAAATAGAGATTAGAGAATGTACTATGTAGGGTTGTTGTAAGAGTGAGACGTGTTAATACACATAAAGCATTTAGAACAATAAAGGTTAGCAGTGATTATTACTATAACTTTTTCTCAAAAGCACGTAGGACAGAATTAAATTCCTTTAATGAATTTAAGATTTTAAAGTCAAGGTGGATCCCAGCCAATACCATATTTTTTCTGAGAAAGATCCATAAAAGGAACATGGTTTCAAGAGACTGTACCATATGGCAAATGGTCTGAAAAATAAGGGGATGTACACACCAGTATTTGCGTGAAGGCCAGGGAATACAAAAGAAAGGAAGCAAAAGCTTCACAAATCTCTCGACCTGAGAAAGCGAACACGTAGTCAGTAGTCAAGACTTCCAAATGGCAGGTCTGCTGCCCAGTGCTTGCTCCCGAGTCTCTTCCATTGGATACCCCAGTTCTTGCTGGTGCAATTTTATCATCAATATTGTACTTGTATTATATATGATGTGTCTTTTGTCAC